TATATCCAGCACTGCATAAACCTGGCCCACACTTGTAATCCCAATACTCAGGAAGTTGAGGCAGAAAGATCAGAAATTCAAGGCCATATTGTGAGGCTAGCCTGAGATATATGAGACCCTATTTTGTTTTGTTTTTTCTTGACAAGTTTTCTCTGTGTAGCTCTGGCTGTCCTAGAACTCATTTGTAGACCAGGCTGACCTCTAACTCAGAGATCCACCTGCCTCTGCATCCCAAGTGCTTGGATTACAGGCATGTACCACTACTGCCCAGTTTTCTTGTCTTTCTTTCTTTCTTTCTTTCTTTCTTTCTTTCTTTCTTTCTTTCTTTCTTTCTTTTCTTCTTTGAGACAGAGTTTCTCTGTGTAACAGGCTGTCCTGGAACTCATTTTGTAGACCAGGCCGGTTCAAGCCTGGCCTCGAACTCACAGAGATCCACTTGTCTCTGCCTCCCCAGTGCTGGGATTAAAGGTGTGTGCCACCACTGCCCAGTGACTTTTTTTTTTCTTTTTCTTTTTGGTTTTTCGAGACAGGGTTTTCTTATGTAACAGTCCTAGCTGTCCTGGAACTAGCTCTTGTAGACCAGGCTAGCCTCAAACTCATAGGGATTTCCCTGCCTCTACGACTTTTTTAAAGGACATTTATTTCACTGGCTTTACTTCCTAACCACCCAGCTGTCTCCCAGAATATCACATTATTTCAAAGGACCTCAGAGAGGGTAAATGCTTTCTAAATGGGGCTCCCCTGGCTAGTCTGAGCCTAGTTCATCCTATGGGAAAGGTGTAGGGTGGTGCTGAGGTCCCTTGGGGTCCAGACCTGCCCCATCCAGGAAGTTGGCTGCTGCTTCCATCAGCTGGACCAGGTGCCACAGAAGGGAAGGATTTCCCTTAGACAAAGGATCCTGTTTAAAGGCTGAGAGCAGCCTGGATGCTACAGCTGCTTACTCACCTAAGGGAACAGAGAAACACTTCATTCTCTACTGTCTCCTACCCTGGGAATGGGAAACACTTGCCCTCCAGCTCCCTAGTCCCCCACCCACCCCAGGCTGTATGCACACCCCACTGCATCTTTATCCCAGTCCTGGCCTCCAAACTCATTATCAGCTGCAAGCATTTGTGACCAGGAAGGCAGATCCATGAGGGTCCTGCTGTGTGCGGCCAGGGGCCCTGGGGACCCTTTCTCTTCATCTGCTCAGCGTCCATCATTTTAAGTGACCTACTTCCTTCTACAGACTCAGTGCATTCAGACAGCTCAAGGTGAATGACTCCCAGCTCCACCCAAGCTCTGCTAAGAGGCTGGACCAGAGCCAGCCCCTCCCTCTAAGCAATTAACTAGATAAACTACAAGGTTTGCCCTGGAGCTTAGAACCGCAGGGAGAGGGTAGATTCTACACACATCTTTCTTTCTTTCGCCTGACCCTTTGAATAGGCGTTTCATGTAAGTTTGGCTAACTCAGTGTGCCATACAGATAAGGAATAGTGTACAGACAAGGAATCATAGAGAAGAACAGACCAAGCCTACGTGAACATAACCACAAGTCACTTCCAGAGGGAAGGGGCTCACTTGTGGGGAGGTAAGCCCCAAATCCAGCAGGTAATCAATCTAATACTGGATGAATGTTTCCCTGAGATGAGCCTGGCCACAACATAGATTGCGGACTTCAAAACTGGCCTTTCAACACAAAGGTGGGTTTTGTTTTGAGGTAGCTGTTATTTTGTCTTAAACCCCTGGGCTTAAGTGATTTTCCTATTTCAGCTTCCTCAGTGGCTGGGAATACACACTCTCAGCTCAATACCAAGATTCAATGTTGTCTAAAACCCCCAAAGCACTGGGTGTGATGGTACACAACATTCATTAATCCCAGCTCTTGGGAGCAGAGGCAAGGGGATCTCTGTTTGAGGCCAGTGTAGTCTACAGAGGGAGTTCAGGTCAGCCAGAGCTACAGTGAGACCCTGTCTAAAAATAAAACAAAACAAAACAAACCCCCAAAACGTCACAGCATCGAGTCCAGAGAAATTTGTTTAAAAATATATTTATTTTACATTATGTGTGTGTGGATATATGCATGTGAGGTCCAAATCCCCTGGACCTGGAGCTCCAGGCAGTAGAGTTTGATGGCGGATGCTGGGAACTGTCCAGGTCCTCTGGAGGAGCAAATGTCAACCACTATGCCATCTCTCCAGCCCTTCAAGCAAAGGATTTGAAAAGGAATGGAAGCAATGAGCTTTGTAAATAGTGTGGTGGTGGTGGGGGGAAGGACCTAAGGGGAGTATGGAGATGGACATTTCCAGGAAGTGTTTCCAAGGCAAAACCTCTTAAAGCAGAAATGATTTCTGCTCCCAAAACTGGGAAGATGGCTAAATAGTACATTTCCCTAAATATGGTGGCATACATCTGAAATCCTACCTAGCATTTGGAAAGTAAAGCAGAAGGTCAGGAATTCAGGGTCCTCCCCAGCTACACAGTGAGTTCGAGGCCAGCATGGACCACACAGGATTCTTCCTTCCGTCTCTCACACACTTCTGCTGGGATGATGGGAGGACGTTCTGTCCAGTTGTCACAACAGATGTGGAGCAGGGTCACCGCACTCTGATGGACTACCCAGAGTGAGCATGAAACAGGGAGGTCCCTGAAGCTCACTGACCTTAGTGGGACGACGATTCAGGAGCATATGGGGAATCCACGGTCAGATGGGCTCCCTTCCTGAGGACCACGATTTAGATAGAGGTGAAAACCCTCTGAAACACTGAGCGCTGATCTGTTGTTTGGGCCAGAGACTCATGCTGCCCAGGTTGGCCTCCAACTTCCTACTCAGTCCTCCTGGTTCTCTCCCATTCGAGGCCCAAGTGCTGGGATTATGCATACGCCCCCACACCTGCCTTATATGGTGTCAGGTGGGAATCAAACCCAGGGGTTCTATGCTGTGCTACACAGACACAGTATCAGTCGAGCTACATGCCCAGCACTCTTCTCCCACTCCCCGTTTAGAGACCGGGCTTCACTGTGTGCTTTGGCTGGCTTGAAACTGTCTCTGTAGAGCAGTCTGGCCTCAGAGACCTACCACCTGTCTCCCGAGTGCTGGGATTAAATGTGCATGAGAACCACACCTCCCCTCCATCTGAGGCGAGGTCTCCTGCAGTCCAGACTGCCCAGAACTAACTACACAGCCACAGCTGACTGTTAACTCCTAGCTCTCCTACTCCCTCCTCACTAGAGCTGAGAATGAGAGATGTGGGAATATGCCCAGCTTGGGTTTTTTCCCTTTTATTGAGACAGAGCAGCATTGTAGTCCAGGCTGAACTGGAACCCACCTCAATCCTCCTGCCTCAGCCTCATAATTCCTGGAATTACAGGTCTGTGATACTACAACCGGTCTGTATGATGCTAAGGATCAACCCAGGGCTTCACACAATCAGCTGTTGACTGAGTTACATCCCCATTCCAGGCTATAAACATACGAAACTTCGCACTGCCCTCCCTCCTCCCCACGCTCCTGGGAAGGGCCCCAGCAGAGGCAGCTCATCTCACCCATCGAGCTATGAAAATCTTTATTGTTCTGTTTTTCTCCATTAGACAGACTTTTCGTTGGAGTAAGAAGCCACAGGACACTGGCACTTCCTCAGTAGGGGAGTCTGATCAGTGCTGGAAGAGTGAGCTGAGGACCACTGCCAGGATAGAGCACATGCCACCGCCAGGGCTCGGCTCCGAGGGAGTTGAAAGCCAACTGAAGGTGGTGGCGCCCTACTTTAAACACTCTCCCGAGTGAGCAGGACTGAAGAACCCCATCTCTGCCCAGGGGCTCAGCTGCATCTCCAGGCCAGCTAAACTGGCAGAGTGCTAGTGTCTGCCTGTGCGTGAACTCTCACTGTGCCTGCGCATACACGGCTCCTCTTCAGGAACGGTACCCTCAGACCTTGCTGGTCAGGCTGGTATCAGCGTAGCTGATTCTCCACTGGCCTTGGCATGTTACTGTCAGTGACAGGGACCATGTGCTGGAGGGTACGGGTCTTAGCTATGACACTTGAATTCTCCTCCTGGAACAAGGCTGGTCAGTGCAAACTATCCACCAACAATGAGGTGCCCCAGGGCTTTGGTCTCAAGACGTGTTGGTACTGGCTCCTGTACACTCCCTGGCACCAAGATGATCCAGTCACTTACCATTCCTCTACTTCCCAGAAAAGGCGGGGTAAGGGTGGGTGGGACCCAGACCCTCCCCAGGACCTGCTGTAAAATGTGTCTCAGAGGGCTAGCCTGTGGGGCCCACTTATTGACGGTCTAGCTGGCATCTCATAAACAAGCCATGTTCCGATCCCTTTGAGGCTGGCATGGACAGGTACTGTGCAGTGGGGGCTTGGGCTAGCCAGACCTACCCTCCACCCCCGCAAGGGACGCTGGGAAGCCTAGTTAGGTTGGTGCTTGGAGTGAAGGTCTCTGGGGTCTGAGAGTGAAACTGGGGTATCTGCTCAGGTAAAGACCCCTCTTAGAATCTTCAGGATCTGGCGATGCTAAGTCCCAGGGAAGTGAGACACAGGAGGCAGCAAAGAGGATGGCGCTGCCAGTCAGTGTTAACGTGCTTGGTTAGCGTGGGCTGGCTGGGGAAAGGGCTGCATGATTCACTCTCTCCCCCACCCCCACCCCCAGGAAATTGGCTGCCTGCCAGCTCTTAGAACTGAGTACATAAATCCTGCCTCCTGGTCAGCCCTGCGCTCTGGGCTGCGGGCTCAGGACAACACACTGCTCCTTCCAGCTGTGAACCCGGCTCATGGTCCCTGGAGTCCTTTGGCTAGGGGAGGCAGGTGCGGCCAATAAAGCACACACAATCTCCAGGTGTACCCTCAGGCCTCAAATAATCAGCAGAGTGGAAGTAAACCTATGGCAACTGGAGTCAGGGGTGAGCCAATGAGAAACCAAATCCACATATTGACTGCCAATCAAATTCAAACACGAACCCAATACGTGAAGGCAGCAGCAAGACCTTTGTGTAATAAATATTGCGAAGCTCATTTGGTTTCTTTCTTTTCTTTTTTCAAGTCAAATATAACAATATCCCCAAACCCTGTTTTCTGCATTCAGAAGAGAGGAAGTTGGTAATATGAGCAGAACACCTGCAGCCAATCAAAGAAAAGACCATTTCCCACAAGACAGCCAATCACAATCTTTTTCCAGTTTAAGCAGCCAATTGGGCCTCTTCACAATCCTAAAAAAATGACCTAAATAAAGCACCAGAGCTCGGAGAGCTTCCGGGGAAGCCAGATACCGAGGCGCAAATTTTTAAAAAAATAAAGAGTCAGAAATAAAAATAAAAGGTTTCCGTTGGTCAAGATTTAAAAATAAAAAGGTTTCTTCCTGCAGCCAATCACAGTCCATCCCTTCAAGCCAATCACAAACCACCGCTGGCATCTCCCTGATGCCAGTCCTGCCGTGGAGAGGGTGGGGGGGTAGGGTGGGGAGGGGAGCAGAGGGATTGTAGCAGAAGGTGGTTTGCTACCACTCAACTGGGAGAGGAGCCCCACAGATCTTGTGGCCCTCGGTGGCTTTCAGGGTGTCCCAAGGGGCTTTCAGCTACTGCCTCCGGTCTTCCGTCTCTGACCTGGAAAACGCCATCACCACATCCTCCGCACCTGCAAACCAAGAACAAGAGTTGCCCATCGATGACTTCTGGTGTCAGGACAGGGCAGAAGGCTGTGCTCACCGTGGAGCAACCCTCCTCTACCTTCCCACCCCGGCAAAACAGTGCAGAACGCCGCAAAGGGATCTTGTTTCAGCGGCAGGGAGCTTGTCTTGTATACAAAGTCCCCGAGTTTAGTACCCAGCACCACATGAACTGGGTGATGTTATTGATCCCAGTACTCAGGAGGTGAAGGCAAGGGCATCAGAAGTTCATGGTCCTTCTCGGCTACACAGTTCAGGGCCAGCCTGGGGTACAAAACAACCTAAATAAGAGAGGGAAGGAGAGGAGAAGTGCTTCTAATGAAGTCCATCCCTCTCCTGTCTCCTGTAGCCAAGCTGGGGACCTGGCAGTGATCCCACCCTGCTGTGAGGCTATGGGTGTGGTTCAAAGGCTGTTCAAGGCCACACGCTAAGTCAGGAGACAGGTCGTTGGCCCTGGACCATTAGGGTGGGAGGTAAGATTTTCTTGGGAAACTTTTCTACCTTTCAAGTTTAGATCTTGGAGCTGGAGAGATAGCTCTGAGGTTGAGAGCACTTGTTGCTCTTGCAGAGGACCCAGGATCAGTGCACACTGGCTCACAACCATCTGTAACTCCAGTTCAAAGGGATCTAACACTCTCTTCTGACCTCCATGAGCACCACACACATATACACAGGCAAAATGCTCTTAGACATAAAACAAAATGCACACACACACACACACACACACACACACACACACATTGGTTTTCTGAGACAAGGCTTTTCTGTATAACAGTCCTGGCTGTCCTAGAATTCACTCTGTAGACCAGACTGGCCTTGAACTCACAAAGATCCACCAGCCTCCGCCTCCTGAGTGCTGGGATTAAAGCCATGTACCATCACTGCCTTTGTCTTGTTTTCCCTAAGACAGGCTCTGACACTTGGCCAAAAGAGGCAAGGGGAGGAAGGAAGGAGCTGAAAAACTGACCTGCAATCTGCCCGTGCCTCTCTGTCCTTGCATCCCACACTACCTGTCCGCCTTTTCTAACTGGTGGTCCAGCATGTTGCTCTAAACTGCGACAGTCAGGCCGCCTGTGGCCTTTCTGGCACACTTCCCTGCTGCGATGTTGGAGGCAATCTCCCTGGAAGAGGCAGATGGGAACAGCAGGGACAGGAAAGGCCTCCAAGGATTGGGTTGGATGGGGGTAGGGAGCAATAGGGCCTCTGTCACTTGGACTAAAGTCAACACAGAGATGGCTCTCCTTGTCCACACCACCGGGGAGTGCTGCCTGCACACCCTGCTGCTGGGAGGAGCCAGGAGGCACCTCAGGTGCTGCTGCAGAAGGGCATGCACATGACATCTGGAAGGTCTGCCTTCACATCAGCAACGAGGTGCTAAAGCAACTTAATCTGTCATCCACCCACCATTTCTGCCTCTGAGAGTCTGTACTTAGCAGCATTCCTGAGAAGACAAGCTCCCGGAAAGGAGCAGATATCTGGCTTCTTGGGAAGAGACACCTTTGCTTGAGATGCCCTAGGAATCCTTTCTGTTCTCACTCCAGTCCTGGGACCACGCACTGTCACTGCAGGCAGGATTGTCCTAGCAACCACAGACTCTGGGATTACATCATACTCCGCATGGCAGTTGGGCTGGGCACCTACAGATTCTGGTTTTTCCGAGGGCTGCCTCCAGCTTGCAGGGCATGAGGGGGTCCGAGCAAGACTGCCAGTGTCGGCAGAAGACGCATCTGTGGCAGTGAATGGTGACAGCCCATTCTCTTTCTCATCTGCCTCGTAGGCTTTCTTGAAGGGTACAAAACCAGCACTGGATCCCCAGGAGGCAAAGGTGGGTGTGCAGAGGGAGTGGACCACCAGCTCCTCAGAGAAGCTCAAATCCTGCTCACCGAGCTCTGTAGACTACTCGCTGGGTACACGTCCTGTGCTATGAAGACAGTAACTGTACTGGCTGGTTTATGTCAACCTCACACAAGCTAAAGTCATTGGAGACGAAGGAACCTCAATTGAGAAAATATCTCCATAGGATACAGCTGCAAGACATTTCCTTAAAGTGATTGATGGAGAGGACATAGCCCATGTGGGCAGGGCCATCCCTCGGCTGGTGGTCCTGGGTTCTATAAGAAAGCAGGCTGAGCAAGCCACGGGGACCAAGTTAGTGAGCAGCTCCCATCCATGGCCTCTGCATCAGCTCTGCCTCCAGGTCCCTGCCCTCACTGCCTGGCAATGGTGAACAGTGACATGGAACTGTGAGTGAAACAGCCGCTTTCCTCTCCCAGTTGCTTTGGTTATGGTGTTTCAATGACAACAGCAGAAACTCTAGCTAGGGCAATGACCTTCTGAAGGTCACAGGTCACTCTGGCAAGCATGTAAGAAGACACCTAGAGCAAGCTTTGTCAGTTTTACCCTCCCACACGCCAGCTGGCCATGTCCTCCCTGCCTGAGAATCCACAGGCCTCATTCCGAGTCTCTGCCCATCCTACACCATCTCCTGTCTCTGAAGCACTGGCTGACCACCAGGACCTCCTTTCCCTGGAGCCAAAGAGAGGGCGGCAGAAGTTCTTCTGGAGCATCCTTCAGCCTCTCTGTCACAGTGGATCATTCAGTTAGAGCGGCTCAGTCTGTCATCATGGCTTGAGGCTTAAAACTCAGTTCCTGAGCCAGAGGAGGAACGCAGCCCTCAGGTGCCCTCTTGGCTGTCCCGCCAGTGCCGTCCTCTACCCCAGGCCAGCAACCTATTCCACTGCTATAAAAATCTTTCCGTCTTTCCCATAATACCCAAAGTCAGACTTGGGCTCAGAGCTTCTATTCATTGCTTCCCACCAGATACAGGTAAGACCAGGCAGGGGGAGCTACACTCCCGAATGTCTTCTCTAATAAATTAAACAGTAAGAATACCAAGACTGGACAATACATCACACAATCACACACACACACATACACGAACCACAGATGTGGACCTCCTATGAATATGGAAAAACTGCTTAACAAACACTAGCAAAATGTGTAGAACAACACATATAAAGGAATCATATATCCAGACCAAATTATTCTAGGAAAGCAGGGCTGGTTTAACATCTGAAACTCACGTGATGTAACATGGTCTACACGAGACTAAAGGGCACAACCCACACCATCACCTTTACACAGAAAATGAACCTAACAGAATCCAGCATCCTTCCATGATGAAAATGCAGGGAACAGGAAACATGGGACTTCTCTACCCAGATAAAGGGCACCCACAAGAACCACAACTGTCACCATGCTGCATGGCTAAAACTCACCCCAGCAAGATGGGAAGAAGAAAAAGCTGTCTGTTCTCAAAAATTTTACTCAAATTGATTTTTGTTTGTTTTGGATATTTGAGACCAGGTCTCACGTAGCCAAGACTTGCTGCTGACTGACAAGTCTCTTGCTTCAGCCTCCCCAGTGCTGATGTTTCAGGCATTTGCCACCACACCTGGCTTCTCTAGGTAGTTCTGAAGGTTCATTCCTGGGCAGTTAGGCAAAAACAAATAACTAAATAAACAGCATATACATTAGAAAAAGGGAGGAAACTTTCTATTTGTGGATATCATAATTGATAAGTAGAAAATGTTCTGCAATTTCTACTTACTGAAAACCTACAAACTAGCAGGTTGGAGCACACACCTTTAATCCCAGCACTCGGGAGGCAGAGGCAGGAGGGTCTCTGTGAGTTCGAGGCCAGGCTGAGGTACAGAGCGAGTTCCAGGACAGCCAGAGCTACATACAAAAACCCGGTCTCAAGATCAAACAAACAGCTAAATTCTATTTGCATATACTAGCAACGAATAATCTGAAAATGAAACTAAAAAATAATTCTGGGGGCTGGAGAGGTGGCTCAGTGGTTAAGAGCACTGACTACTCTTTTTTTTTTTTTAAAGATTTATTTATTATGTATACAACATTCTGCCTCCTTGTATGCCCGCACTCCAGAAGAGGGCGCCAGATCTCATTACAGATGGTTGTGAGCCACCATGTGGTTGCTGGGAATTGAACTCAGGACCTCTGGAAAAGCAGGCAGTGCTTTTAACCACTGAGCCATCTCTCCAGCCCCGCACTGACTACTCTTGCAGAGGACCCAGGTTTAATTCCCACATGGCAGCTCACAACTGTCTGCAACCCCAGTTACAGGGAACCCAGTACCCTCACACATATCTACATGCAAGCAAAACAACAATGCATATAAAATAAAAAGTAAATAAAATTATTAAAAAAGAAAATAATTCACTGATAGTATCATTCATCAACAATACTACAACACTTAGGGACAATTTTTACTACATGTCCTCATTTTCTGTGGGTGAGGATATGTGTGTGCACACGGAGGTCAGAGGACACCGCAGGAGTCCGTTCTCTCCTTCCACCATGTGGGGCCTGGGAACAGAGCTCGGGCCTTACACTCTAACTACTCAAAATTTTAAAAAGTTGAAGTCACCTGACAGTGGTGGCGCAAGTCTTTAACCCCAGCACTGGAGGCAGAGGTAGGCGGATCTCTGTCAGTTCCAGGCCAGAATAGTCTACAGAGAGAATTCCAGGACAGCCAGGGCTACACAGAGAAAGCCACACAGAGAAAGCCTGTCTTGGTAAAAACAAAACAACAAGAAGTTGAAATCTATTACTCACATCACTCACCCTGCCCCTTTTCAGAGATGGATTAAGCAAATCCAGGGCACAAGAAGCAGGGGGCTCGATCACCACCGAGCTACATCTCCAGTTGAACTCAGCGTCTTCTAGAAGACAGGGCCTCACTAGGTAGCTAGCCCAGGCTGGCCTCAAACTCACACTCGTATCCCTTCTGTCTCTGTTTCCTGAGTGTTGGGGTTACTGGCATGGCCAGAAAGCTCTTGAGAGCAGCTCTGCACCACTCTGGAAACACACGTCACAGTTCCCAGGAGGTGCTGCCCCACACATGTGGACAGGACAGGCAGGATGAGAGACAGACACTACCAAG